GATTTTGTCTTTTTTGCGCTCAGCTGTTTTCTGCCTCTCTCGCGCGCTCTCTCTCTCTCTCTCGCTCTATGCGTTCGTTTGCTCTTTTTTTTTTGTTTGGCTGCTCTGTTGATGACTTGTTAATCTTTGCATTTCTACATTTTTATGGATTCCTTTACTATTTTTAGTTGTTGTTGTTGTTGCTGTTCGCTTTTTAGCTGCTTATGTTTACAAACGCAAAATGAGAGCGCCAAATAGTTCTTTCAACCGCATTATAATTGGTTTTTGGTCAGTGTGCTTGCCATACACCCAAAACAAAAATTTAGTAGTGTTCCAGTGTTTACCATTTTGCCGAACTTAATTTCCAATCTATTTTCGTGCACTTGCCATAAGGAAGTAAGGAGATTGTTGTGTGTTAGAAGAGCACGACCTGGAAACTGAAACTGCCACTAGTCGCAGCTGTCAAAAGTTTTGCTCTGCGCATCATTTTTTTCTTTTTCGTCTGCTTCTTTTGACATCAGCTATTAGCTGCTGCTGGGCTGCGTTCGAGCCAAATTAGGGCTTTTTGTTTATTAACGGCCATGACCATTAGCGGTTTATTTTCTCTTCGTTTTTTCAACATTTCTTACGTATTTTTCTATATTTTTTTTGCAAGCCCACATGCTTCAGCGCAGATTTGAACTATAAGCGGCTTCCTCTCGCGCCCGCAGTTGCCGCAATTAAAGACCCGTAGCAGCAGCAGCAGCAGAAAAAAATACGTCTCTTGACCAAATACATATGTGGCATATTTTTTTTTTTAGCTTGAGTGAGTTGCTTGGGTCGGTCATTCATACATGTGTAGCTCACACTCACACTCGCATTCTCTCGCTCTCACTCTCGCTCACGCACTCAAAAAAAAGAGTTGAGCTCTGGCTCTCTCCCACGATCATGCTCAGCCCACACACACAGACACATGCAGGCGGGCAACTCTGAGAGAGTGAGTGTGAAAGAGAGCGAGAGAAAGAGAGCGCGTGAGTGCTACACCTGCCCTGTCGCCAGTTTACGCATACAAGCAAACACACACACACATGCATGTTTGGCTGCCTGCACTGAGCACCCCATTCAAAATCGTTGCTTGTGCTCCGGCCGTGTTCTCAGTCCACTTTGAACAACGATACCGAGCGGTTGGCGTTCTCTCTCTGCAAGCAAAATTTGTTATTTCGTTTTTGAGTGCTTAAAAACACAGCAGTAAACCAGAAACAAAAACAACAACACTTTTGTAAATTTCTGCTGCCAGCGCGCAGTCGTTTTTCTAACTTGGCCCTAAGCAGCAGCAGCAGCAGCAGCAACGAGAACGCGGCTAAAAAAATAATATAATTGTCGTGTGTGAGTGAAAAAAAATTGTGCAAAATTTTCTGCACAGCCAATGAAGAAATTAAAAAGCGTTATAATTCTGACAAGCGCTTATATAAAATAAATAGTGTGTTTATCTATAGTGCGTAAATAACCAAAATAAACTATAATTTAGTGACTCAAGTTTATTGATTAAATGGAAACCATAGAATTTCTTTCTGCCTGTTGCTTATCAGTCAAAAAGCCAAAAAGGGACTGCAAATTTTGGAGTGCTTCTCTTCTCTTTCACTCTTCCTCGCTCCCCCGTGGGAAATACTTGTTGCAGCTGTATTTGTTCCGCTTGCGCCTGTTTTTGTTTGTCTATGTGTGTGTGTGTGTGTGTGCATTTTTCAAATATTTGCCAAACTCAAGAAACTTCTTTGCCATTGCTTTGTTGTTTTTTTGTTGTTGTTATTTTTGCCATTTATGTTGTTTGCCTGGCTTTTCATTCAATAACCAGTTTTTGGTTTTTTTTCGTGTGTGTGCGCTCTTTTTTGTATTTCTTTAATTTTCTTTATTTTATTTTATTTTTTGGGCGCTGCTTTTGAGCTGCCTTCGTTTCATTTTCGATTCTTATGCGCCTGCGTGCACCACGCACATTTTGTAGCTGTTCGTATTACTTACAGCTCATTTGTTTTCCACTGGAATTGCGCCGCAAATTAGTCATGCCAGACAGCAAAAAAAAAAAATGAAAAAGAATGTCTCACAACTCTCAACCATGTTCGTCTACCTGTGTGCACTTTTCACATTTCTTGCTGGCAAAATTCTTCAGCTCCTTCCACATGCCAGGCATAGTTTTACTCATTCTCTCTCTCTCTCTCTGTCTCTCTGGCGTTCTCTCTCGCTCACTGGAATAATGCAGCACACACAAATTGAGCGCTTAGAACATAAAAATTGAGCTTAGACTTTTAAGCTTGGAAAAGGCAAGACACACATAAACACACACACAACATGTGCATTGCGAGTGTAAGGTGTGCAACAGCAACAGCAGCAGCAGCAGCAACATGTGGGGAGACACAGAAATAACTGTGCCACACAGTGTTGGAAAAAGTGCAATGGAAATATGAGTGATGTGAAAAGTAAACAAGCAACAACATTTTTTTATGAATTATTGTGTGAAATTTTGCATGTGAATGAAAAACTACAAACAAATCAAAACAAAAGCCACAAAATATAAAATAACGAGAAAAAAATGTAACAAGTGAAAACGGACAAAACTGTGAAGAAAGCTGCCCATTAAATGAGCAACAACATTGAAAATATTACCAAATGAAAATCAGCGAATTATGCAAATCGAATTGCCCAAAAAAGAAAAAACAGCACAAATTGACTAATAATCATATGCAATTGGCAGAAAATTGAGTAAAAGTGCTATGCAAAACGTATTTGTTTCGTTACACGCCCCTCGTTTCAATTGCTGTGAAAATTACTACTTCAAATAAAAAAAAAAAAACAATGCACAATAACAAATAGCAGCAATAAACAAATTGAAAGAAAGACAAAAAAAAAATAATAATAGCAACAAGAGAGAAATTCAAAAAGATATTTATTTGTACAAGTATCTGAGTATCTGTGTCTCTGTATCTATGTCTGTGTGTTGAGGCTACTTTGTGACTCGTATCTAATCAGCGCGACAGCTTGTCTCATTGGTGGCCAGCTGCGTGTTGCGTGTTCATGCTATTATTTATTATTTATACATACATCTACATATTTATTTATTTATTGTGGAAGTTGTCAGGGCAAGTTGAAAGTAAGAAAGCCCCGCAGCTGCCACTGCTGCTGACCTCATGCAACCGAGAATTCAAACAAACAAAAAACGAGGCAAGCAATGCAAAGCAAGGCAAGCAGCAAGCAGCAAGCACCAAAGAAATTCCACTCGTAAGCAGCCAAAAATAACAAAGTGAGATACTCAACTAAGACACGGAGTGCAGAGTTTTGTCGCAAATGAAAGTACAATTTTTTATAGTGTCATTGTTGAGTTATTTCTTTTTTTTTTTCTTCTTTGAAAAAAAGTCAGCGACAGGAGACAAACAATTTAGATCATTGCTCGCTTTTACTTGCGCTTTTGTCGCTGTCTCTGCAGCTGTATCTGTAGACTGTAGTTGTATCTGTATCTGTAGCTCTGCATCTATCTGTCTTGCCAGCGAGGCAGCTGCGCTGTCTTGATTTCAATTTATCTTTATAATTTTCAATTTGCACCCTGAACCGCATCCCCTAAGCCAAAGACTGCAGCTAAAACTTGCGCCCTTCAGATAACCTTAAATGGTAGCCAATTGTCAGCTCGTTAAGTGTATTTCAAGGCGAAAATATGCACTTTGTAACTAAAGATAAGTCTGGATGATATTGCTTTAAAGCTCTAATAATATTAGTCAGAAGACAAATTAGTTTTTATTTCAAAATATATTCAAAGCGAGCAGCTTAACATTATCTCTTCATAATTTATTTTTACAAAAATTCTGAATGAATTATTGTAGAATATTAAGTCTAGATAATCACTGAATACTAATAGACCAAAAGCTAATCAGCTAAAGCTTCTAATAATATTATTCAACAGACAAATTAGTTTTTATTTGACAACATATACGAAGGTAGCTGTTAAAGATTAGCTTTCCATAGTTTATTATACTACAATTTTAAAAGAATTATTGGTGAATAGAAGCGATTGGAGATTATCTCTCCATAGTTTATTGTACTAAAGGCAGATTATCAAAGCAATCTCTAATTCCAAAGATCAAGCAAAAACTAAATTAGTATTTTGTATTAAATTTGTGAAACTTTAAGGAAACTACTCGAGAATCTAGCATTGCTTGCCATTTTAGGGCATTTCAACTTTTTTTTGTTGCTATTTTAAGGGTATTTAAACTTCAATGTGCTGATTTTCTTTTTTTTTTGCATTTATTTTTGTCAATTGTCTGTAGTTTTGTCGGTAGACAGTTCAAGAGCCGGACGACAAAATGCAGAAACAGCATGAGTCTGTCGTTCGTCTGTCACTTGCAGAAAACATTCTCAGATACAGATACAGATATGAACAAAGATACACACACACGCACACACACAGAGAGAGAGATAAATATGCAAAAGATACACGAGTGATACGCAAAGGCAACTGCGTGACCGGCGGCTCAGTTTTTGGCTGTCGGCCAATTGGAACAAAATGCCGGCAACACAGAGCAATAGGCAGAGAGACAGAGAGAGAGAGAGAGGGGGTGAAAGAGAGGGAGTGAGAGACAGAGTGCGAGCGAGATTCGCAAATAGACTTCCTCAACAAGAAAACGGGCAACAAACTTTTGCACTTTGTTTTATTTAGCTATTGCACTTGGTTTCTATTCTAATCTGATTTTTTTTGTTGTTTTATTTGCAATTCGATTCGTTGATTTCACGTTCAAGTACGCTGACTCATTTGGCTAATTTGCATTGGTTTCTTTTGTTCGCTGCAGAGCAGCTAATCGTCTCCAGGTCCAAGTTGTAGCCTTTCCCCATTTTGCTGTTCGTTCGTCAATCAGAGCAATAAAAATAAAATCACACAGTGCCATCCACAAAAAAAGTAAATAAAAATAAAATATAAACTCCAACAAAACGTGCTAAAAATAATAATAAAAAAAATACGCGAAAGCGAAAGCGATTTCCAAGTGTGCCAGAGTTGAGTGTGTTGTGCGCATTTCATGACAACGCAAGATGACATCGCATTCCTATTATAAGGATCGTCTCGGCTTCGATCCCAATGAGCTGCAACATGAGGCAACAACAACAGCAGTCAGTCAACACCACCAACATCAACAACAACACAGCACCAATTCGATGAAACGGAACAGCTCGAGGCAGACGCATCACCATCACCAGAGCTATCATCATGCCACAACAACAACGAGCGGCAGCTCAGCCGCATCGCCGGCACGAATCTCTGTCTCGCCGGGTGGCAACGGTTCCCTCGAATATCATCAGGTGCAGCGGGAGCAACGCGATCGTGAACTCTATGCAAATGGTCATAGCCACAGCAGCAGTCCGCATCATCATCATCATACGCAGCAGCAGCATCATCATCAGGCGGCACATCGTCATGGTTCGCATGGATTGATCGAGGCTAGTCCGGCGGCCAAGAAGGCCAAACACTCGTCAACGCAGTCGCAGCCGCAGGGCGGTTACGAGGATGCGTTGACGCAGTTTAAAGGTACCATGTCCATTTGGGATCATTTTATTGAAGATTGGGATATTATGCGTAAGTCGGCAAAGGTTCAGTTTTTCCACCATCGTTCGTTCGTTCGTTCCCTCGTTCGTTGTTTGCCGTTACTCATTAATTGGATACTCGTTTGCTTGCTTGCGAATAGCTCCTGTATTTTCTATTTGTTCAACTAACAAAATTCCTTAACTTGTTATGTGGCGAGTATCTCTTTAAGATCGTTACCGACTACTCGTCACTTGTTTCTGATTCAACTTAAAAAATATATGAGTACTTGCTACTTGTTACTCTCTACAAGTAGCTTGCAACTCGTTCCCCCGCTAAAAGCTACCAAGAGCTACTAATCGTTGTCAGCTACTCGTTACTGGCTTCTTTTTTTCAGCGAGTTGCACTTGCCACTCTTCACAGCTCTTTTATTTAGCTTTATTATAAATTTGGCTTATTACTCGCTGCCCCTGAACCCTTACTCGTTACTTATTACTCCCCGGCAGATTGCTTTAACTAACAACTTATAGTTTGTTTCGCCAGTTGTGTTTCCTACTAAGCCAAGCGCTATTTTAAAAATGATGCCGCCTGCGGAAATGATTTGCATTTTGGCAATGCTTAGCTAAAATCTTGATTAAAAAATGCTTGCATAATTCTAATTCTAATTATGTGATTATGTGATACGCTCTCTAGCTTTTAGCAGCTGTGTACCGAACAGAGTTCAAGGTCGCAGCTTACTCATAAATTATAGTTAGTATATGTCTTTTAAATATGCGCAAGCGAAGTGTAAACGATTTGACAACTTTCTGTTTATGAAAGCACTTTGATTGAGCGACCCTGACCATGAATATTGATGGACATTTAACACGCCCGTCCAAAAAGAGTGGATAGCCAAAACCGAACCCATGTTTACCGCACACATTTCACCACCTTAAGTTTATGCTTTATATAGGTGTCTCATTCGTCGCCGTCATCGTCCGACTCAGAGTCAGAGTCAGAGTCATAGTCAGTCCCCTTCTGAGCTGGTCACGGCATGCAAAGTTATGTCAATATTAATTTAACGTTGCTTCAGCACCAAAAATATTTCTTCCAGTTCTTGTTTTTTTTTGTTTGGTTTTTTTTTTTTTTTTGCGAGCGTAAATATTTGAAAACTGGTTACTGACAACGTTTCTTTGAGTTGTTTTCGTTCTTATTGCGGTGTGTTGGTCAACCCCAACAAAAAAGTAAGTAAGAATGTTCTAGCGAGAAAGCTCGACTGGTGAATACCCTAGTTTCAGTTGTTGAATACAAGTTAAACAATAATATATCACGGTTTTTTATATGTCAATAAGAAGGCGTTATGGTGGCTTTTGCCATTGGTAATCGATTTCTGTCGAAATAGGGGAAATGGGAAGAGTTATCGATTAGGGGAACTTATATTCCAATTTTAAAGTCTCTAGTTCTGAGATCGTCTTCTTCATAGATCGACTATTGATGATGATAACGAATACATTGACCTTATAGGCTCACAGATACTTCCATCTGCCTGTTGCATACTTTTGCGCAACTTCAACGTACCCTTTTGTTGTAGGGCATACAAAAGTCAACTACAAACTGCGGCAATTAACTCTCTCGCCTCAAACAAATTAGTCGTTGTTCCTCGAATTCCTCGAATTTTGTGTGAGTCTCAAATATATTTGATAAATAAATATCTATGTTTGTGCACAAAACATAAACCAGTTTATAATTTTCCAATTTACGATAAAAAAAAACCAACAGTTTAACGAGATTTTTATGTTGATTTGTTTATTAATTTGACTTTTGTGCAAAGTTGACACAAATCTGTTATCGTAAAACTGTTAGATATGCAAAATGCGATTCAAATGTGCTTGGATTTAAGCCATTTTGCCTAATGTGTTAATGGGGAGCGGCGCTTACCTTTATAATTTGATAAATGCATTTAAAATGCCTTTGCAAATTCCATTGCTGTCCAAGCGAACTTTGAGCTCATCAAGTACAATAACGTGTGTATATATAGGCCATATATCGACGTGTCTAAATGTGTATAAATACTTCTGACCGAGTCGTTATGTTATTTTATCAAAAACAAATCACCTAAGTCTATTATAAAGAAAGCAAATAATGACTTGCAGATACCCAGCAATCTATTGAAATTCTTTGATTTATATTTATATATTATATATAGAGATTTGTGAGTTGTTTATATTCTTGAAAGAAAAACTCACCAGTTGGCTCATACACACTCACAACTTTATTATACCCCTCTCGTCATAAACATTTATACTATTTACAGAGTATTAATGAGACAATTTATCACACAATGCTGCGTCGTATTTATAGGCACTTGCATAATGAACTAAACTGGCCGAAACGCACGCTTATCACAGCTCAAGTAGAAATTCGACTAATTACGCGTGTTTACCAAATTGTCACTATTATTATTATTATTTATATTATTATTATTGTTGTTGTTGCTGTTGTTGTGGTCAATCAACGTCCTTCGCTTTAGTTTTCCGCTGACATTGAAGTGCGCTAATCAAAAAGAGCGACGACACAATGCAAAAATAAACATTAACGAACTTCGAATATATATATATATATATATATATTTATATAGATGTATTGGTATATGCGACTGAAGTCGACTAACAGCAAAAACAGTAAAAGAGAAATAACAACAACGAAATACGTTAACAGCAAAATACGTTAACAGCAAACATTTAATTGTGGAAACGAATTCAACTTAGAACGTGACATCATCACGCGCTCGCAAATACCAGATAGCATTTGTAGCTGTGTGTGTGAGAGATACACACACACACACACACACACACACACACACACATGCACATTTCTACACCTTTTTGTGTGTTGTCAAAATTGAAGTGAACTTTATAAATTTATGAACTATGATGATATGCTGAGTAGCGTTGTGTGTGTCACTCTTATAAATGATAAACTGACTGTATGTGAATGAGGAAACCTAACACCAAACCGGGTGCAGCAAGTTTGGATACTATAATTTCTCGATCTGAATCTCTGCAAATCTCTGTTGTCAACTATATGTGTGACTTCTCGTCACGAAATGTAGATCAAGTTTGTGGCACATTTTAGTTATTTCCCACAGTCACATCCGTTTCGAGATCTCAAAATTGCACATGTTATAAAATACATGTGAAATTTTATATACTTATAGTTAAGCATCCGTTATTATCATAATAATCATATAAATTAGATGGGATTTATGCCAGAAACTAGTTCATATTGATTGGGCGCTTGTGAAGGCATTATATTATTATTAATGGCGGCATGTAAATGCACGATAGGAATGTGGGCATAATTAAGGACAGCCTGAAGCTCGGTTGGAAAGTGTTTAGCAATCGATAATTATCGATATGTGGCGCTCTTGGTGGTACACGGAAAGTTGTTAACAGTTTCGAGTTAAGAATTCATTAGCCACTGTTTGCAAAATAACTCAAGTGCAAACTAAGGCCCCCCATAGGCATATTTAAAAGCTAATTTTGAAATTTAATACTAATCGATAACAATCAATGAGTATCGTTTGTTTTTTTGTTTTGATTTTTTACTGGAAGATTACTGAGAATTGAATAGGCTGCGATAATAACCCCAAGTCAACTGCAAGCGCAGACAATTAGATAGAAATAACACTGAATGGATTTGCCAGCTGTGCTTGAATGAATGAATGCCTAATTAGGGACGGGGGAGGATGCCTACGGGGGGGCGTTGTTAGTAACAGATATTTTTGCACATTGGTATATCTTGTGAGTCATTAGCTGATTAAGTAGAACTTTAGCTTAAGCTGCTGCTGAGTTTCTGTTTTTTAGTCAGCAATAATTAATACACACTCACAAGCGCAATTAATAACTCGCTAACTGCCTTCACACAAAGAGAGTGAGTGAGAGAGAAAGAGAGCGACAGACAGAGAGAGAGAGAGAGAGAGAGAGAGAGTAAAGTTTTTGACTCTCTTTTGAGTCTATTTTTGTTACTTCTACTCACTCTGCTGTTGTTCTTTATCGAGAGTTTTGCTGTGTACATATAAAAAACCAAACACAACAAAGTCTTCTTTTTTTCTTTTTGCACTTTTTTGTTTTGCTTTTGTGTTTCGGTTTCGCACACTGTTTTTATATTTGCTATGCACTTCAATTTATCGGGTTTATTAACCGTAAAACTTCATTTACAACTATTAGTATTACTATATGTACCTTAACACTCGACTTGATATCAGTCAACTGGGCGCTGAACTCTATTGTTCTACATGCTTTTTTTATTTTTATTTTTATGGATTTACAGCGCGCTTTGTTGTGCCCGACTATCGCTAATTTCATGCCTATATTCGATTAGATTTGGCGACTTCGACTAGGCAAGATTTCCATTCTTTATATGAATGATATGAGGTATTAAACCGAACCAAATATAAACTATGTGTCAAGAAACTGTTTTGACAAAGGAACATTTCATATATTTCCAAATATAGTTCCAATTAGTTAAAACTCTTAACAAGACTCATTAACTTACTTTGAAATTAAAAAAAAAAACAAACTTATCCATTCTTTGATCTGTTGTGTAGATTTTGGAGTCTGCTTTAATCCGCATGCAATCGAAACTTTCATATTCGAATGCATTTTGAGTTCATTAAGAGACCTGTAGTCCAATAAAAGTTATTCAATGCTGAAATATTCATATATTATAATCACAAATGTAATGTTTTCACTTTGATATGAATAAGTGATTTACATGCTTATTCCATTTTAGCATGTAAATCCGATTAGATTTGAATCCGCTGCTGATGAGTCATCTAACATGCGTTTGATATGAAATTGAGATACCCTATTTGTTAATGTCAGTCGCCACAGTTAATACTCGATTAGATTCGTGTTCCCAGAAAAAAAAAAACAGATTTGCTATGAATGACGTCCGATCTGGACTATTGATGTGCTTGGCACTAATTGCACTGCTGCTTAAAGCGCTTAACATGTGTAAAACTAATCAATGTTAATATAAAAACAAAACTAGCCCTGCTAACGGGTTTTTTCTGAACACTATTATCTATAGATAGGGCAGTTGCTATAACTCTTCTCTACCGCTCTTTCCCTCTCTCTCACTGAGTTGGTCAGCTACGCCTTTGTTTATAAATCAAGTCATAACTTATCAGATTGCTGGCCTTATCGGACTTTGGCCAATGTCAGTGCTTGAGGCCCCGAGATTTATTTAGACAATGGACATGTGTACAAAACTAATTACGTAGCAACAACTTAAATGAATTGTTCAATTAAAGCAGCAACAACACTTACAACAAATAATAGCCACAAACAGGCTAATTAAAAGTTTAGGCCATAATTCAGAGCCCACGCTTTAAATATCCCGCATATAATTATTATAGATGTATAAATTTGATATTGATTCGTATTTATTTTTTGTTTTGTTTTCAAAGTAGGCGTCTAATTTTCGCATAAATTATTTCTGTTTGATGTCGTCAGCTCCTGCAGTTTAGATCATATCATATCAAGAATTTGCTCTTGTTTTTGTTTATTTATTGTTAAACGGTATTTTTACGAATGACTTAACAGTTGCATGATTCCTAACCGACAAAAAAAAAAACAATTTGTATAACTTTTATTATAGCTTAGTGTTTTAATATACATAAACCTTTCTCGTTTCACGTTGCTTTAGACGAACGCGATGCCATTCAAAAGAAGACTTTCACAAAATGGGTTAACAAACATCTTAAAAAGGTGAGTGCATAACAAAGCCCAAAGATATCATCATCATCATCATCATTATCATTATAATCATCATCCACACCATATTATTATCAACATTACCTTAACTGGTTCAGTGCTCCATAAAAACCGCTCGAAAACTGCCCACATGAATGAACATAGTCTTTGTTTAGGATATCTTTAGCGCTATACTATTAAACTTTTTCACTAAATTCAAACTTTATATATATATTAAATATATTTTGAAAATACATGCAGCATTGGAAGTATGCCAAGGTATAATTTCTATATAGTACAGCTGTTGTACTTTCTTTTTGCATATATATGTATGTGTATTATATATACCCCGATTTCTTACAACTCTTAATGAATTTACAGACTTATACCATGCTACACGTTTGTGTTACCACAAATGGTATACCTTGTTGTACACAGTCTGTAAGTTTCCAATGCAATCAGCAATTCAACTTTTGTATATAAATGTTGTGCATTATTCTTATGTTTTTATTGCTGCAATTTTGTATTATAATATTTGCAATTTTTTTTTATAATATCTTTGCATATTTTGAGGTAACTTTGGTTTTCCTTCGTTGTTGTTGTTGTTGTTTTTTCCCACTAAATGCACTCGCCCACTAACTACTCTTAACTCGTTGTAATCGTTGTGAACACCAACTAAACACCCTTGCATGTCACATAACCTTACAACTTTTACTTTTAATCTGTCGTCTAACTTGTTTGTTTTTTATTTTTGCTTTTCCGCAACACAGGCCAATCGACGTGTTGTGGATTTATTTGAGGATTTGCGCGATGGTCACAATTTGCTTTCACTCTTGGAGGTGCTATCTGGCGAACACCTGGTAAGTGTTGTTAAACTCAAACTCAAACTCGATTTAAACAACACTCGATCAACATCCAACATCCTGTCCAAAACTTGACTCGTTTCCTTTTTCTCCAAATAGCCACGAGAGAAGGGTAAAATGCGTTTCCACATGCTGCAGAACGCACAAATGGCGCTCGATTTTCTGCGCTACAAGAAAATCAAATTGGTCAACATACGTGCCGAAGATATTGTGGATGGTAATCCCAAGCTTACACTCGGTCTGATCTGGACAATTATATTGCATTTCCAGGTAAGTGAACTAGTTTGCTTTTTTATTGCCTTTTACAACTGCTATTAGAGATAAACTTAAATGGAGCAAGTTTTGTTTAAATGTGACCAGTATACTCGTTATACTGCTTACACGGTTTACTCGTTATAAATAGTAATCGGGAGAAGCTCTCGTTATAAACAAAAAACGTTATAAAATGTTATAAGTGTCACTATAGATACACTTACTCGTTACTGATTTACTCGCTACAACTACATGGAAATAGTTAAATTTAGGCATTATAAATGTTTAAGTTTGAAAGAAGCGAGTGTTGGTTAGCAGAAAGTTCTCGTTGCACAGCTTACTTGACGTATTTATTGTAGTTACTCGTTAATTTGCATACTCGTCACATAGACTACTCGATACTTCCCCTACTCGCTATTTTCCCTGCTCCACTTACTCGCTTCAACTGTGTACAAGAAGTACTCCATACACTCATTTACTCGCTGCAACTGTTGTTTTTTTTTGTATAAATGGAGCACGTATTGGTCATCAGTAGGCAGTTCCACGAAATGTTGCCCAACATGGGGCGACACTTTCAAAGTCGGCAGCGGGGCAGCGACGCATCGCCCACACACACACACACACACAGAGACACTCATACAACGTACAATTGGGCGAATAAACAGTTGGAGTCCGTCTGAATGAAGGTGACCCTCAAATTGGCCGCCCAATTCGTGAGATCGTTAACAAAACTGTTCACACACAGCTAAGAAAACAAAAACAAAAACCAAAAAAAAACATTCGTTTTCATTTGGGCGTTTTTAGCTGTTGTTGTTGCTGTTGCTGTTATAGTTTCGCCATCGATTCAACAACTGCAACTGAATTAAGTTTAGTTTAGTTCAGCCCACACACACACCCGATTACTCGTTTCATGTGTGTTCATTCAGTTTCATTTAGTGTATGTTTCATTTCATTTGTTTGATTGTAGCCAAGCGATTCATTTGGAGCCACATCTACTCCTACCCAACAACAGCAGCTGCTATTTTTACAGCCTCTGGCTTGGCTATTGTTGTTGTTGTTGTGGTTGTTGTTGTTGACTTATTTTGGCGAACGCGGCGCTGCCTTAAAAGGCAGCCAGTTTACCTTCTCTTCACCACCACCACCAGCAGCAGCACCATCGCCAAACGTTGACTGACACACATAACCAAGTCCAAGTGGCTGCTACAGTTCGTCAACTGATTGTTGTTGTTGTTGTCCACAAGGCCGCCACAGATCAGGCACTTGGCCACTTGGCCACTTGACTGCTGGCCACCTACACAGTCGGGTAATAAAAAAAACAACAACCACAACAACAAAACTTGAAAAACACTAATAAAAGGTTCCCGGCTGGATAAACAGAATGTTGTGCTTCTCGGCATAATGAAGTTGTTCAAGTTATAGCATAGATTTATGGACAAATTTATCTGATTCATTTTCAATGAAAGTTTTAATAGATGCGCTCGACATATAAAAAAAAAAACATTGAACGATCAACAATCAATCTGATATTTTCATTTAAGAGTTTACTAATTGTTGCCCCTGAGCATTGGAATTGATTGATGTAATCAATCATATTGGAAAACTTTATGGAAATGTTGAAAAAGTTATAAATGATAACAAATCTATTAGATGCGTCTCTTCGAATGAGTTATAAAACTTTTGCAGCTTTAAATTCCAAAAAAATGCAGAGAAGTTCAATAAAATTAATTTGCATAATGGATACATATATTTGATGGGTCTGACTAATTTTTATAGCTTAACAAACTGGATTTTAATAGACAGCTAAAATCGACTTCAAAGGTTTTGTTTGCATTTGCAAGTATCTTAAAATTCAACTTCAACTTAAAGTTACTGCTGCTTAACTTGGCCATAAATTATTAAATTGCTTTTACTTCCAACTTCCAACTTGACACTTTTTGCTTTAACTATGTGACATAAACCCTTTTTAATTACTTATATTTATGTATGTATTTAATTAGTTATGACTTTAACTTTAACTGCAAATTAAGACTTTTTGCTTTTTCAATATGGGTTTTCCATATCGCGAAAGTTTGCTGTTTAAAAATAAATCCCCCGCTGAATCTGTCATTAGTGTGATATCAGAGGCCAACTTAAAGAGTTGCAGCTTGCAGAGAAGCTGTGCGCTTAGTCATCGATTGTTTGTCATGTTGCATATTTCCGCACTGCGTTCGTCTCCAAGTCTGGCTGCCAGTCTTCGTCTCCGACTCAATCGTAATGTGTGTCAACAACAACAACAACAGCAGCAGTTGAAACTAGATGCAATTTAAAACTCGGGTATTTCGTAATTTGTGACGGCGCATGCCGCACAATGTTGTTGCTGCTGCTGTTGTTGTTGTAAGTGCAACAACATTGCTCGTTCGGCGAGGCGGCTCGGATTGATCGATGGCGCGCATAAATGCTCAATGATGCTGCCAGTCAGCCGCGATGGCAGCAACAGCAACAGCAACAACGACAACAACTGTTGTTGCCTCTCATGGTCGTTGTTGTTGTCGTTGTTGCTGCTGCAAAACGGCGGCTGATTCAATTGAGGCAAAACGAATTGTAAATCACTTGACAATGTGAAACTCAATCGCGCGTCATTTACTGTTTATGTTATTTATTATTTCTTGCTGTCTCGCTCTTCGTTTGCCCCCCCATTAGTCTCGTGATCCAAGGATTTATGTATATTGGCGTGCCAGCCTGTGTTGCGGGTGTCTCTCGCTCTCTCCATCTCCTTCCCACTCTTGCTGTCTTTGTATCTTTGTATCTTTGTTTCAGTATTTGCTGCTGCTGCTGATGTCATTTGTTTGTTTCGTTCACTTCGCTTTTTTTTGTTTTGTACGCAATGATGCAAATTTGTGATCGCGACTTAAAAGGATATTTCTTTTTCTTGGCGTTGCTTATTATATTCGCATATATACAACCAGCGCACCCTATAGCCCCAAAAATGGTTAAAACTAAAAAAGAAGGGTGCAATCAAGAGTTGTGCAAGTAAGGAGTGGAGTTAGTTGGAGAGTTCGTTAAGGCAAGAAATTGATGTGACCAGTTTTTTCATATCTCTCTTCATTTATCAATCACATTTATTTCAACACTCATTGTGCGAATAGTTTTAAACAGTTAAAGTTAAGTTATTTTGTATATAAACATGAGTGATTTGTAATATTCCTTGGTTAAGAGTAGAAATCATTAGTTGAACATATATCTATCTGTACTTAAAACTACAGACTTACTACTTTAATTTCAAATGACAACTCGACAACAGCTATAAAACTCCAAAATCTGATAAGTCTGTTCACAAATGCCAAAAACATGTTCTTGTTTTATTTGTATGTCGCATTAAGAATTCTACTCACAGCAGTGATTTAAATCAATTGCAAACACACATTAAACGCAAATTAAGAACAATTTTTTAGCATTTTTAGTGATGTTAATCTTTTTTGTATGCAATTTTGCATATTTAAATTGTACACTTAACTCACAATTGTGTCTCTGGGCGACTTTGTTCAGCAGCTCGATTTGAGATCTCGACTCGAATCAATTTCAATTATGACATAATGCCTATTTATACGGCAATTGCATAAATATGCGCATTGTTATTTATTTGTTGTTGGGTGTGTTGTGTATTAAATTCAATTAAATGGCGCATTTTTTAGGTCAATGTGCATACAACAAACTGAGAAAAAAAGCAAATTTAATTCCCAATCGGAGGCGATGCCAATAAATTGCCAGCAATTTGCCAACGGCAGCCGGCGGCAGTTTTTTTGTAACGCTGCTTAGCTTATAATTAAGTTATAAATTCTACTGTAAAAACTAATCGCTACGATCTATGAAACACCCCCAAAGCTGCGGGGGACTGTGCAGAAGAGGAGCTTAACTTCATTGTGTTGTGTCTTTTTTGCCAATTTGTGACAGGCTTGTTGCCTTGACTTTAAGCGCGCCTCGCTTACTTCCGGCAACTGGAGATATTTAGTTGTTGTTAAGCTGTGCGCTCAATTGTTCAATTTGAGCACAACAAAAAATGTATAAATTAATGGCACAAGCTGACAGTGCAGCGTGTCGGACTAAAATATACCCTTTCAAAAACTTTTACTTAAAGTTCACTAAGGAAATTACTCGATTTACCGAGCTAAAACCCATTTAAACACAAAAAACGTATGCTAGCTGTTATATAGGACTACTCGACTTTGACTCCTAATACCCCTTAACAAGTTTGTATAAGATATGAAAAGGTGCCGCTTGCCGGCTACTGGCAACAATGTGGCAAGTAACCTGTGAAATCTATGTCGAATTACACCTGACAAACGTTTTTATTATAAGTTACGGCTAATTTTCCACAAGCGCAATTTTGCACATTATTCAACGCTCGTTTTGGCTCAAGTGTTTCTTTATTTTTTGTTGTTGCTTTGACAGATACAGATGCGGCTGCTGTATTTGGTCAGATTACCATATAAAATGTGTGTGTGCGAAATTAGAAACAACAGTTGAGGTGCCCAGACATTAAGTAAGCAGATTCCAATCTCTTTTTCTCTGTCTCATTTCACACACAAAGCAAAGAAAGTATCTGACAGATACTTTTTATTTTTGCGCACCTCCTACAGCTTCAGTTAAAGTTATACAAAAAATTCTCACGTCATCAGCTTGGCAGCTTGAAAGCCATTTGGTATTTTGATTTATTATAAGACGTCGCGGTATTTGTTACAATAAAGTCAATGACAGCCAATTCTAACCTTCAAGGCAGGTGGAAATAATGAGATATACAACAAAAAAAAATGCAAAAAAGAAACAGAATTATTTCTCGACAAACAAAAAATGTGTTTATGTTTTTGCCCTCTTCTGTTCATGACATCAGCCATATAGCTCTTTATAGCTGACCCGTCTCGTCAAAAAAGTGTCGCGTACTCAGACAAAAAATACCTTAAAAACGAAAGACTTCAACGCAAGCAACGAACTTGCCAGCTGAACCAGAATTATATGAAAAATGCACTTATACGTCGAAATTT